GAACTTGTCTGGTAAGATCTCAGGATGGTTATAATGGGAGGAAAACGGACTTATCTGTTGGCAAACTTATCTGTAGGCGGACTTGGAGGACTTATCTTTGAGATCTTAGGTACGTAAAAAATTGGGATGTGCAAACAGGACTATCAGAGAAACTCTGTCTTCTTTGCATCTCTTTACCTGATCTGCGTAAACATTGCACCTATCTTTACTTTGTGTACAAAATTTAATTGATTATGTTGCTCTCACTGTTTCCTAATTCAGCATTTATGGAAATTTTAGGCGGAAGATGATCCCAGTTGTACGTCGCGCACTGCATACCTCAGTAGCGTCTTGTCGCGGACGAACCACTTTCTTCAACATTCATAAGAAAGTGACTGACCCTGCGAAACAGGACCCGGACTACTTCGAAAAAGCCGCAAGGGAATTACCTTTAGGTGAGAGTCGTCAGTTTTCTTCTTCATTACTACAAGTTTGTTACTGACACTTTTTCTGATTATTTTCGACCAACAGTAGTAGCTCGTGCGTCAGCATAATTTTTGAAGCTTGTACACACTATAGCCGTTCAAGCTTTTTTGTCTAAAAAGGGACTATCAGTACCCACTAACATAATGTGTTCAAGATGACAACTACATTGATGCACTGGGAAAACTCTACTACGAAAAAATTGGCTCGGAGCGAGATCTGGGATTGAAAGCTGCGGATAATTTGGTAATCCTTTTGTTGAGACAGAATTTGAAAATACTTTGCTTATGTTTAGGTCGCGGACCAGCAAAAGTTTGGCTTACCCGACTTGGATCTTTCGAGCCCTCGTTTCCAGTACAGAGATCTTGACATCCTCAAGGATGCTCCGGAAAGTGTGAAGAAGATATACAGGTTTCTCTTTAAGTTCATTTCGACCTTTTGAAGTAATCTGTCTTCAATCTTATGTCCTAAACGCGCTACTTGATTTTTCCCAGGGTGCTGGCTCTTGTAGTGGTTGATTCGAGTTTGGCCTTACTTCGCGAAAAATTCGCACCGATCGTGCCTCTTCACCGCTGTTCGCCCCCCCCCCTCACCTCACTGTTATTCTTACTGCAGCCATCAAAGCGGTACAACAAAGATTACTTATAGTATTGGATTTGGTACCAGAAGGGACATGTCGAGTGAATGGAAAGCACAGCTGATTGGCAAAGTGAATCAACACACCTTAGATGAAGCCAGCCTGGAAATGAAAAGTAAGTTGTTCATTAGCGTTATCTGACTTTCAATTCATTGTGGTGCCCAGATGAAGCATAATGAGAATTAATAGGTTCAACTCGAACTACACTTTTGCGCTGAGACTTGAGCAACTAGTTGGGATTTTTTCACAGAATT